TATTGAGAAATCGTTAGCTCGGGGTGCGGTGAATGTTTTTAATAATTTTTTATATCCAACATAAGTAAATTGTCGAGGTTTTAATGATGTGGTGAGTCTATATAACGTATTTTTGTTTTTCTCTATGTCTTCAGTAGTATTTGTTAGTGGTAAACAAAGGGGGTTAGTATAATTGTAATAAGCTGTCCGATGAAGTGTTGGCATTAAAACGTGCTCATCAACAAAATTTCGTGTTTCGTTAGCAATGGTAGGTGTATTTAATGTATATTGCGGAAAAGATGCTAGGGTGATTTCTAAAAAAAATTTCGTATTTGTGTGTTCTGGGTGGTTGATGTATTTTCGGGCTGTTCCGGGTTTGGTTGGGAATGGGTGATTTGGGAATTTTCGTTTAAAAGTGCGATAAGCTCGGTTAGTACTGGTAGGTGTTTCAGTGGATGTGGATGACTGAGCTAATGATGGAGTGTAAGCTGAAGAGGGTGTAGGAGTTGGTGGATTTGATGATGTTATTGTGGATGATAGTTGATGTATTGTGAGGCTTTGGGGATGTATTAGTTGTTGTTGTAATGTAATAAAATTGTTGAGTTCTGCGGAAATTTGGATGGTATCTGGGGAGTTATTATGTGATCTGTCGGAATGAAATGGAGAATAGGTTGGGGTTACTTAGGAAGCGTAAGAACGAGTGGAAAGGGATGGGATTGGATGATTGGACTGGATGGGTCGAAAAGGGGGTTGCGAAAAAACTGAGAAGTTGGTCTGGGTATGGGTAGAGGGAGATGGTTCGGAGTCTGCAAATTCGTCGGGGGTTTCTACATTGGAGTTATTAAATTGTGAGATAGTATGAAAAACTGAAACATCTGAGTAAGTATCAGAATTCGTGCTTGATGGTATTTTAGTAATTGGAAAATCGGGTGGCGGTAAAGCAAAAAGTGGGATAAATGGGATTTGAGTTTGGAGATTGGCTGGGAGGGAATTTGAGCGATGGAGGGATCCAATTTGTCGGCTCATCGTGGGCTATAAAAATGATTATTTTGAGACTGAAAAGTGGTGGTATGGGGTTGTTCAATAATTTGTTTATATGTATTATCATTTTGTGAAAGATTTGTCATTATGTGCTGAATGGGACTTTGTGTTGTATTTGGTCGAGAGTTCGGATTATTTGTGATTGCTAGGCTTCGAAAATTTCGGGGAACTAATGATAATGGATGATTTTGTGGTAGAGGTGGTATCTGTGGTGCTGTAGGTGTTGTATCTACATGATTATGTTCTTCGTTATATGTGTTTGGTCTTGTGGATATTTTTGTATTATATTCTATTATTTGTGCATCTAGAAGTATTTTATTGATTGATGATGAGAAAATTCCAAAAAATCCTGCAAATAGTATACGTGCAACACTTGCTTGGCGTTTTACTTGTGTGTGTATAGCGCATGTGTTATAGATTCCTTTTAAGAGTGAGAAAAGAAATCCTATAAAATTAAACATGGCATATAAGATGGTTAATTTTTCTAGGATGTAATAGGGCCATCCTAAAAGGCAAGAATTTTGTTTTTTAAGGTTACAAAACTGAAAATATTTATGGGTGAAATATCCTGTGGTCTATATTTTTCACCGTTGAATTATATGTAATCTTTGATATCTTTAAAATATCCGCTGTAGTCTTGTGTATAAATGTCTGCAAATCCTGCGGTTTCGGCAAGTTTTCTTAAATTTTGGTCGATTGACTGTCGTTGTCTTGTGTCCATTTGTGTTAGTAATTCTTGAAATTGTTGTGTTCTAATGTGATGTTGTTAATCAGATTTAGAGTATATTCCAATTGATTGTAAATCAGTATTTGGGTTACGAGCAATAGCTCGATGCTTTCGAGTGAAAAATTTTTTAGTGGTTGCATTAATGTAGGATACGGTGTAAGTAAGTAGTATTTATCTTCATCAGGGTTTAATTGTACGACATTGTGGCTATTTTCTGATTCACATGGGACTGCGGTATCCCAAAAATAAATTCGTCTTGAGAGTGTATCGACAAAATGTACTTTATTTTTATAGAATATGGGGATTCTTTTATAACAACGTTTATCTTCGAAAACATATAATGGTGAGACTTTTTTGGTGCAAGTATAAAACTATAAAAAGTTTCCTTCGTAATCAAGAAAATTTGATCTGTTTCCTGATAATAAATATCCTGCGTAGGGTATTTTTAATACTGCTAATAAGAGTGATTGTAAGACTTGTGTTCTTTCTAATTCGCCTAGTTGATGAAGTGTTTCTAATTCAGAAAGTGACATTTCTTGGAAGATTCTACTAATTGTGTAGTCTAATTTCATGTCCAAGTGGATATCATAATGAATATTACCAAAGTAGGTGCTATTCATTAGTGACAGTTCTTTTAAACGTGTGCTTTTACTGTTTTATTGTTTTAATTTTCCACCAGGTTGACCTTTGCTTTTATAAAAGTTAACTGGGACGTATGATGTTCCTTCGTTAATAGGATGACTTGTGGCATAAGGGTCAAATGTTTATTTTTCCAGTGGTCATGTCGAAACTTTTTTCGTATTCGACAAGTATTTCAGACTATTGTGTTTTATAAAGTGGATTGCTATATTTACATGCAAATTCTCTTTCTTGATAAACTTGAAAGCGTGTTAAATTATTTTCGATATCATGAATGTTTTTGAAATCAGTGCTTTGTTTTTGAGACGGTTTCACTTGTTCGTATGGGGTTGATTCAATAAAAAATTTTCATGAAGTTTTATCATTCGAGCGTGTATTTTTGCTAATTGAAATGTTGTGCATGTATCTTCGGGAAACCAAACAATTGTTGCTTGGGTCCTTGTTGTAGGATCACAATAACCTTGATCATTTTTGCAGGGTAATCTTATTCCTTGATAGATCATAGTGTTATCAATTAAATTATGTCTGAGTTGTATTTTTCAAGTTGTATTTTCCAATCAAAAAACATTATTTCTTGATATCCTTTATTTCTTGTGTCTGCTTTACAGTTTGAAGGATTATTTATTCCAATGTGTGGTATCCAGTGTTTATCGTTTATATCATAAGTTAATCGTCCGTGTGCGCCATTACATGGGTATTTTTCGTCTAATTTAACATGTCCTTGATATCGTTCAAGTTCTGCTTGATGTACAGAGTCGGCAAAGACTTGAAAATTTACTTTTTTTCTGTCTGTGTTTTTATTTCTTGTTAGATTTAGTCTGAGTAATTCGTTTTTGCAATCGTCGGGATTTAGGTGTTAAAGTCTTTCAATATTGCTCTGGAAACTTGTGAACAATGTACTTTCTTTTCGGAAAAGGTTGCTGTAAAATTATATCCTGTGACTGTTGTTGCTCGGGCTTTTGAGTACAATGTTGCTAATACATTTGTAGTTTCTATAGCTTGTGGTTCTGTTTCGCATTGTGATACTTGATTTATTGCATAGTTGTGTAGTGTTTTTTGTTCGTTTTCTTCACAATCATAGTGTGTTACTAATAAATCCTGGGGTCCTGTGCGAGGAGAAGGATTTGTGTTTTTGTCGGAAAATATTAGAAAAAGGATGTGTTGAAACTTTAATATTTTTAGAATATACATGTGTATGATAATCCGGAGTATGGGTTGTAAAATGTTATGTATCCAATTGTGTTTTTTTGTGTATCTATCGTATTTATATATTACTTCAGTTGTTTTAAATGGTGGTGGTAGCGATTGAGCTGTTATATTTGGTGGATTTAATGGGTAGGGATGTTGAACAATATTATTTAGTTTTTTTGTGATTTCAAATTTCAATTGGAGACTATTTTGTTGAAGTATCTAAATATTATGTTCTCGAATATCTTCGTGGATATCTTGTCTATATTGTAATCTATTGAGTGCCCAGCTGTTGAGTCGGTTACTTTCTTGATGTTGTCCAAATAATGGGGAGGTTCTACGAAACTGTTCCAATCTAATCGTAAAAGGATATTTGATGAGGATTGTTCTCGATATCTAGCGTCGAGGTTGGGAAATTTAAAGGAAAAAGTGTCGGTGAGATTTGACTTAATGATGGTGTTGACGGGAGTGATAATGTTTCTGGTAACGATGATATTGTTGTGTCAGTAGAGATATCTATTGGATCTTTTACCAAGTTCGGTTCACCTTGTGTATATGAGTGTGTTGTCCAATATGGTGGTCTTTCTCTGGTATCTGGGGGATTAAAAGGGTTTTTTTTCGGATTTGTTGTGATGTGGGGGTTGAACCTAGATAGTCTGAGGGTATACTTGAGGTGCTATGTTGTGAAAGGAGTGTGGGAGTTTCTGGTAATGAATTACTTGAAATTCCTGAAGTAGTTGATGTTGGTGATTGGGGTATATCAAAATGAACTCTGGGGGTTTGAAAATTTCTATTTCTTCGTGGATGTATAATTTGTCTTTTGACTTCAACTGTATTTTGATTTTGACTAATATGTCTTTTTCGATTTAAGTCTTGTGGTAATGTGGGGTATAAATTATATGTAGGTTCACTTAGGGATGCTTGTCGCTGAACTGGTTCTAACGGTTCAGATAAGGGAGCCTGTCGTTCTTCAAAAGTATACGGGTTATCTTGGAAAGAAATTCGTGTGAATGTTTGGGGATTTTGGGTAATGGTAGGTATGATTGGGTTTTCTTGGGAGGATGTCGGTGAAGACTGTTTTGGTGGTGGTTGGTTAGCAATTTTGGAAATGTGTTTGATTTATTTGTTTCTTAGTGGGAAGATTTATGTTTATTGTAATATTCTTCGATGAAAAGAATTAAAAGGATTGTTGCTAAGGCGAATGTGACTATTGCCTTTTTTACACATTTGCACATTGTCATGATTAGGGATGATAAAAATGTGATGAAAATTTACCAATAGTAAAAAAATATCTGTTCTACTAAAAACTGTTCGTATCATTTAAATAGACTTTGAATTACCATACCTGTGAGTGGTCAATGATTTGGGAAAATTGGAGATATATTTCAAATAGGGAGTAGAAAAATAAAAAAAATTGCAAAAACTTATTAAAAGGATTATTAAGGCTTCAAAAGTTTCAATAAAAATATTAGCAAAAGTTTAAAGAGAATGAAAAATTTTATGAAAAGATTTAAGATGATATTTTTTAAGGTATCGACTGTTAGAGAGAAAAGCATTTAAGAAATGATCCGTTCGTCGAATAATTTTTTATTTTCTGGAGCGAAATTTAAGTGTGGTTGGATTATTTATTGATTTTTTGACAAGTGGGTTGAGTTTTGTGAAAAATTGTTGGAGGCTAGTTTTATGGTGTTCGGGAGGTCTTCTCTACTTTGTTTTTATTTGGTAGGTAATCTGGGTTTTTTTGAAATGTTTGTACTTTAGGCCAAATGATTATGGTCCTTTTTTAATTTAGGCTAATTTGCCTTTTTTGGTTGGGGGGGGGGGGGGGGGGGGTTTGAGGTCTGAGTTGGGAAAATATTGTTGATCTTTGCGTTATTAGATAGGGGAGGGTTGTAATACTAAGGTGGTATTTATTTTAGTTGCCAAGTTTTAGAAAGTTGCTTATTTTTGACCTGGAGGTTGGAAAGTAATAGTTATAGATATGCCTGGAGATTAATATCTATCGGCTAGTAGGTTTGTGTTAGAGATATTGAAGGTGACGGATTTGAGTGAATTAGAATTTGAACACTAGAATTGTTGCGTATGTTTCAGCATGTTATTTTGAAAATATGAAAGTTCAAAATGATTTAAAGGTGTACAAATTACTAATTTAAAAATCAAAGTTGTTTTTGAAATTCAACTTTCTTTAATATTTTAGATTGTGGGATGAATGTTTGTAATTTTTTGGTGGTTGATTTCTAAGTCGTATTAATTCTCTGTGTTCTGATTTTTGTACTTGTTCTTGTGGTAAAATTTTTTCTATCATTTTCCTGTTTTTTCTTTCTTTTTGAGATATTTTTGTGTCTGGTGTTTTTGTATTATTATGAGTTGTGTTTTGTTTTTGATTTTGTTTATACTGAACGTCGGATTGTACATTTGTTGCTTTTTCTGTATGTGTATGATTTTGGATAACTTTTAAACCTGTAAAAGAATATAATTGAGTTAATTAGCGTAATGCGTATTCTTTTGGGTAGTAAGGTAATAAATTGTTACGATGTTGAACAATTTCTTTTTTGGTTGAATCTGTGAGTTTGTATGTTACTTCAGTGGGTTTGGCAATTATTTGGTATGGTCCCTTGCAAAGTAGTTGTAATTTTTTGGAGATTCCTTTTTGTGTAATAAAATTAGCTATTAAAACAAATGTTCCAAATTTTAAATCTGTGGCTGGCATAAAACGTGAATTAATTTGGCTGTTAATTTTTTGCCTTTGTAACAATTTCTTCGTTACTTTTTGGTAAATTTGATTATGTTTTTTATCTCTACTTAAAGTACATTCGGTATGTGTGCCGGAGGCTAATTTGAGAATTTGTGGGTGATGAAAATGGTCTTCATCATGTGTGTGTGTAGGTAGGTTATAAAATTTTGAATCTTTATTTGGTTGGCAATAACCTTGTGCATTTTTATGGGCCTTTGCTGTAAACATAATTGGTTTTTGTGGCTTTTGATTAAAAACCATTTCATATGGTGACATTCTAAAGTTGTCTTGATTTGTGAATTGTATGATAAGGGAAATAATTTTACATCTGCTGACCATTCCTTGTATCGTGTATCATTTCCATTAATGATACATCTAAGATACTCTTGTAATGAGCGGTTCATACCTTCGACTAATCCGTTTGTCCAAGGTGCATGAGATGTACGTGGTTTATGTTTAATGTTGTATAAGTGGCATAGTGTGATTATTTCATTATTAATAAATTCTGTACCGTTGTCTGTAACTAGGATTTCGGGTAATCCGAATTTAGCTATCCAGTGTTCGTAAAGTGTTGTGTATGCATAGTAAGCATTACAATGTGGTACTGGGTTGAGTGCTACATAATGTGTGAATGCATCAACAATGACCAAAACTTAAGAATTTCCTTCAGAGGATGGTAAAATTGGTCCTTTTGTGTCGAATGAAATTCTATGGTTGAAATATAAACTTTGTCCTTTAAAATCTTGTTTTTGTGCTATTTGTTTTTGATTCGGATAAGGTTTGTTCAATTGACATATTATACAATCATTGCATAATACTTTTATCCAAATTGGGGCATTTGGAAAAGAAAAATTTTGTGCGAAGTTCGAGTATGTTTTTTCTGATCCTGAGTGTCCTTTTGTATTTTGTGTATGGGAGATGTTAAATGCTATCAGTATCATACTTAAAGGAAGACAGGGAACTTTTGAATCATCTAATTGATATTCTAAAAGATCTGTATTTTCATTGATTGTTGTGTTATTAAGTTTTCGGAAATATCGGAGGAGTGTTTGTTTCCTAAAATTATGGTATCAGCTTTTGCTGGTTTTGTTTTGTATTTGTGCCATGATTTTAGTTGTCTAATTACTGGGTCGAAATTTTGTTATTGTTTTAAAAGTTCAAGTGTAATTTTTTCTGTTGGTAGGAGAAAAATATTTTCAATTTCTAGTTTTGATAGGGGAATTGTGTCAAGCGTGTCATGGAGGTTAAAAACTTGATTTAGTGTGTATTTTGAATCATTCGTTTGTGTTCCTGATAAATTTATTTTATCGGTCAAATTATCTTTTTCAATTATTGGAAAAAGGTCTTTTTTATGCGGTTGTTGTTTCATTTTCTTTTGTTGAGTATTATTTTTGATCCATTGTGAGTATGAAATTGGTTTGAAGGTAGATGTGCCTAATAAATCAACTTCGTAGTGATTATTTTGGCAATCTAAGTAGAGTGGAAAATGTTGTAGATTATTTATTTGTGATTGATCAATGTCAGTTTTTACTGCGTATTTGCATTTAAATCGTGGTGATGTTTCATCTTCTGCGAGATAGAATTTAATATTTTTTGTTATTTCAACTGTAGTTTTTCGTGTAAGTAGTTCAGGTGGTGTATTTCTACTTAATGTATCTGGTAACGCAAGGTTTTTTCCTGCTGTCCAAACTATATGTAAGTTTGGGAATTTCATTAAAATTAATTGAAATCTTTAAACTTTATGATTAGGATTTGATTTTTGTGTGAAGAGAAATATAATTGGTTTATGATCTGTAAATAGAACTGTTGGGTGTTTTGATCCAAGTATCAGAAATTCGTACTCTGTAAGTGTATAAATTATAGCTGTACATTCTCTCATTAGAGTAGAGAGTCGTAGCTCGGCTTTTGTGAATAATCGTGAGTTTGCTGATATAAGATTCATCTTGTTTGTTCCACTATGTGATTGTAGTAATGCTGCGCCGATGCCAAAATTTGAAGCATCGCACATTGCGTAGAATGGTTGATTTCGATCTGGAATTGTGTTTGAAATTTGTTCTGTCAAAAGTTTTTTAATTTCTTCAAATCGAGTTTGATGTTCAGTGGTCCATTCAAAATTATTTTGTTGTCTGAGGATGTTAAAGAAAGGTCTTAAGTATAACTGCATTTTGTAAACATAATTACTTTAGAAATTCAACATTCCAAGGAATTCTTGGATTTTCTTTTTATTTGTGGGTGGTTGAAGTTTTTGGATTGCATCAATGCGTAATTTTAATGTGGTGATTGTATTTCGTTCAATATTATGTCCTAAAAATTTAACGCGTGTTAAGAAAAAATGTGATTTATCGGGGGCTGCTTTCAGATTTTCGTTCTGAAGTACTTCATGATACTGTTCCAAAATTAAATTCATTAAATTCGTTTTGTTGATTTCCAATAACAAATTGTGTTAAGCGTCGTGATTGTTCATCTAGTGGCATTTTGTTATAAGCACTATTCATATCTGCGGTTGTGAAGTATTTACCATTTATCTTTGTTAAGATAACCTGTATCGGTTCAATAGGCCAATTGCATTTTGATTCGTCAATTAGTGAATTGAGATATCTAGCGTCTAAAACCAATTTTAGTGATTCACCTTTTGCTAGGATGATAACAGGGTTGATGAAGGTATTACCTTTTGGTTGTTCTTCCTTATTTACTAGTGATATAATTTCAAATTGTTCTAAAATATCAAGTATTCATTTTACCTTGTCGTGTAAGTGAATTGGTACTTTACTTGCTCTTTGCTTTTTGAAGACTGCGTCAGGTTTTAATGGGAGGTGTAGTGACGAACTAATTTTTCCAATGTCAAATTTTGATGTTGCGTAGACTGTGGAATGTTTTATCAGTTGTTTTGCTAATCTGTCAAATTCATCCTGTGTGATTTGTGAATGTTGAAAATTAAACATTGTTAAGAGTTTTTGTTGTTCTTTTGTATAATTTGTTATTTTGAATGTTGGTTTAAAATAATTGGTGTTTTTGTGAAGTAATCTGTATTTTTTTTTCATTGCTTATTATATTATTTATGGATAATTCTTCGTCAAGAATTGTTGATTGACAAATATCTAATAGTTGTAAAATATTATTTACCCGATATGCTACTTCATTTACAGGTGAAGTTGTTGCATTCGTTTCACAATATCCTAATAGTCCCAAAGGTAGTGTTATTCGATATGGTGTATTATAATATACATGTAGTGAAATAATATCGGAATTTGTGTTTTTTAGATATTTTATGGATGAGATTGTAATTTTGAAAAATTTGTGAATGGGTTTAAATTCGAAATCTGACATGAAAAGCTGTTGTTTGTTTTGACTTTTGTCATACTGATGAACTTGTTTTAATGAAAATTTATATATGTTTCTTGATAGTGGTTTCAGGTGTTTCCGTTCTTGATTATAAATGGGGTAAAATTTTGAGAAAAATGGTGGTTGTTTGTTTAATCTTTGGAAGAATGTTAAGGCTGTGTTTTTTGTTTTTGTATATTTGTCTTTGATATGGATTTTACAATTTTAGATGTTTATTGTTTGTTTATATTTAGTAATAAACGGCATGCCAATGATATTGTGCTTAATATGAGTAGTATGAAATGCTTGTTTAAATGGCTTGTTCAAAATCTTGTTTTGTTCTATTGTTCTTGTGGGAACAAGGAATAGTTGGATTT